AGCCTGCATCCTGCATCCAAGGGACTGCCAACTTGACCTAGAGTTCTGCAAAGCCTGCCTTAACTCAAATATTATTCTTCAAAAATACTAGTTCTTTCTCAGTCCCTAAGGTTCACATTCCTGTAGGTCATTGGACCAAGTCAGCCAAAAACCAACTTTGACCTCTAATAGTATTTTAGCCACGATGCCACCTCTGAGCAGCAGCCCTCGGTCAGAGTCATTGGGAACATGACCTGTACACAGAAGCCAATTGATAGCCCATTGGTTCATTGTCCACTGAGAAGTAAATGAGTAACAGTGACTAACAGGGCTGCCTCGACCATAACCTGCTCCACATGGCTCCCTAATCCCAGCAATTCAGAGACTCAGGACACTGACCTTAGTTGCTTGGGTTGTTTGTTTATTTTTCTATCTTCCAATTTATCTCACAGAAAACTGCTTACTAGAGGTACAAATCTCTTGGTTCGAGGGACTAAGCACCTCGGTCTGTAACAGTTCTCTTAGCACCCAGTGGCTGTGAGCCTAGGTCTGGGCAAGTTTGGGAACAAACTAAGAGAAAGCAGATCTGCAGCCCCAAGGCTGCAGTGCCCGAGGACAGGTGCATCCTCTGATGAACTGGCCATGAAGATTTTTTTAAGTCAAAATAAACACTAGCCACTTCACTAGTAAAAATCTGGGCAGCAAGGACTAGCACCATACACACACACACACACACACACACACACACACACACACACACACGAGCAGGTTAGGAGCTCAGGCCTCAGAATCTGACCAGCAGAAGTTCAGTCCCAGTTGCTCTATCATCAGAAGGTCTTTGGGCAAATTATCATTTCTCAAACTCTACTTTTCTATCTATAAATAGAGATAATAGCTACCATATAGAGTGCCTGGTAAAATAAGATGACTAAATGCCTACTACACAGGAAGGCCTTTATGGTGATGTCAGGATCAGTGGCTTTCACTGTGTGAAGGGTCTGTTCTATGTACTGCTCATATCTAGCCACAGGTTTTTCAACTTCAACACGGATATTTTGGCCTAGAAATTACTTGACCTGTATGTTGCAGGATGTTTACTAGTAGCAGCACCTTCAGCCTCTACCCATTTGATGCCAGTAGCCCCCTCTCCCTAGTTGTGACAACCAAAAATATCTCCAGACATTGCCATGTGCCCTGGAGGTCAAACTCACCCCAAGTAGGGAACCACACTGGTCTAGAGCTTTCTCACCTTGGGGATCCAGAACTTCACAGCATCCAGAACTACTTTTCTGGAAACTCAGTCATTGGTAATGCCATATTGCTGAGAGTTTATTTTTAATGGCCTTACAGAAAAGTTTTGATACTTATAAATGATACTCATATCCTGCTGCTGTCAGTATTCATTTCTAGGATTAAGATAAAAGCCTTTTTGCCATCAGAAGGATAGAAAGCAGTGAACAAAACCAAATTAGCACAGGACACTATTTAAGAATTTAGAAATTACTAAATTAATACTCACTGCACTTGTGAAGCCTACATTCTGGCTGAAGCTTTTGAGTTTGGGCCACTATAGACTCCTTTGAGGGTGCCCTGCAGGTGGGTGGCCTGTTGACTCTAAGAGTTCAGAATGTGCTCCTAGACAGCCCATGGTCCTTGAGCTCTACAGGTGACAGCATCAGATCTGAACGATAGAAAGCTTACCATGTTCTAGGCCCTCTGCTATAAATATTTATCTTGTCTAAACCTTATAATAAAATTATTTCTGTTTTATAGATGAGGAAGCAAATTCAGAAATGCATGTTAGTTGCCTTAAGATACAGTTGTAGTGCTATTTCTGGAAATGACCTGTAGGCCATTCTACTCCACCATCACGCTCTCACCCTCTGCTCTGCTGCCCCCTGGATTCCCAACACTCTTCTACGTGGCCAGTGCCCTTTGTGATACTTGGCATTAACTACATATTGTGGAAGGAAAGAGAGGAAGAAAAGAAAGAAGTTTCCATTCTTTCTATTGGTAATTGGATTAATCTTCGACCCCTCCCAATGATCAGGGAATAATTCATAATAATATTCACACTTCCAAATAGATAACTTCAAAAACTTTTGAAGTGTTCAAGTAATATTTATGTCATTTAATTGTCAAACTAGTTCTGTGAGCCAAGTAGGGTAGGTATCATAGGTAAGTTTATTTGCCAGAGAATGGCTAGAATTTAAGCTTCCATCTCTGAACTAAACTGTAAAATGAGAAGGAAGAACTACAAAGAGATGGACACATTATTAGTCAACAGGAAGAATGAAGATACTTTATCAAAATTCTCTACCATGCCAGAAAGATGCAAAAGGAACAGAGAAAGGAGAAGTAATTTTCTCTTTCATTTGCCATGCAAAGTGCTTAAGATAAACCACCTGACCATAGCTATAGGGAAATATTGCAACTTGATTGTTGTCCGTGCTCACGTCTGCTTCTTCTAGCTTTCTTTTTCTGGCTTTCTTTTCCTAGCAGAGCATCTAAAATAAGATTCTTTGATATCACTTCCTTTATTCATCTTCCTCTGCCCTTTGAAAATAAATGACACACACAAGAATGGAAAATAATGTCTCAATGGCATTATGAAGTATACTTTTTATTCGAAACATTGAATTCTTTCTACACCACTAGATTTTATTTCCACATAGCTCCATAGAAGACTTTGTTTTAGAAAGCAGTACTAAAACTGTCAATACTGATAAGAATTTATAGTATCTTTATTTATTGTATATTAAATTAAAGGTAAATAACCATCTTTATTTGCCTTTAATTTATTGTAGATTAAATTAAACGTAAATAACTTGAATCAACAGTTATTTATCTATATTCAATAGAGAGCATTTAGCAATAGCTTTCTAAAATACTCTCTTTTTGAGGTTTTCTTGCACAGGCTTTCTTAATACTGACAGCAATCTAGACATGTCAGTCCTTGAACATTTAAATATTGTAAACCTGGTTAACTTATACTAGAATTCATTTTTGCTTTGACCTTTTCATTGAAGTAAGGAATTCTGTGTTTTTAAAATCCAAGTAACCTTTCACAGATTTCTGATGTATTTTTATTTAATAATAATAAAAAAAACACATTTGGGCCAAATGACACAAACTAAATGACTAATGAATTATGTTTCTGTGGAGAAAAAATGTTTAAGTTAGGCACCAGAAATTTAAATAAAAATTTAATATGGAGCCAAGGGGTTCTTCATAGAACATGCTTACATTAAGCAATAAATGCTCCTCTGAGGATCTATTAAAAATAACAGTAACAATGATTATGATGCTACTTATGATGGTGTTGATCCCTCACTCAATGGGATGAAGAAGCTCCTTCACCTAGTACATTTCCCTTGCCTCCTGCTTCCTGCAGGCGTGAGAGGCTCAGGGTTCCCTGAGTGCCCTTTGTGGGGGTAGGGGATGGGGGATAGGGGGAACAGGGAGGTGTGGAGAGGTAGTTCTTCCTCTGAGGACTCATTCAGTCTTGGCGCAGAGGTGTGCCAGCCACTGTCCATGTAGAAGACCTGCTGGATTTGTGCTTGGTATTTTTAGTTCTAAGGATAAAAGTATCTCTGATTTTCTTTCGCCTCCTCTCAAAACTCTTGTATTTCCATAACACTCATAATTATTAATTAATTATTCCCAGTCCCTCCTAGTCTTATTACTTTGTCAGTATGCCTCCTGACAGTACCAGCAGGTTAAGAATTATTCCCATAGCCAGGGTTCCTTTTCTTATGGTCACTAAATAAAAAATTGCTAACTGGAAGAAATTATATATTGTAAATATTATACTTGATAGTTAGCAGACTTTAAAGAAAGCTTAGAATACAGAGAGAATACTATAGATAGATGCAGAAAGTGTGTTCAAATATTCAATATATTTCTTTCAATCAGTTATCTTCAAACAGAAGATCTGAGTTTTTAAAGATGATATCTTAGGAAAGTGAAATTTGTTGTGAGAGTTTTAAGACCAATTTCTGTTTTCCCCATTTGAAATGTATGTAATAATAATTTTTCTTACATTTGAACATTGAGTTTTGTTCTAAAAATTGGGCACAGTTTTCAAATCTCAAAAATAAGATGATATAACATTTCAATTTCATTTTATGCAACAATTAGCCAAGGATATTTTTAAAGTACCTAATATATGCCGAAGGATACTAAGATTAACATACTCCTTGTCCTTGAGCAAATAGCATAGCAGGACATTTCAGAGCCATTTGTACAACCCCAAACCGATTTTTAATTTCAAAGTGTTTTATTTAAATTCTTTCCCCTGCTGCTAAAATCAGTCCATGGAGAGAAAGCATCACAGCATTGTTTGAATCAGAAAGTCTTCAACAAGGGCTGCCTGGATTAAACAGCTACAAAACCACTAACCCAACTTTCTCCTTTAAAAGAAGTCCAAGTGAAAACACCAACCACGGCATCCTATAAAAATGAAGAGTAAAATCTGAAGCAGGTTTATTGCTGTCCGCCGGAGATCCGGGAGTCCAGTGTGGATTGGGAGGAATCCCCCTGTCCTGCTGACCCCGCAGGCATTCGAACCAGTTTAGTTAGGCACCACAGACATCTGATAACACTGGTGAAGCAGGTAGATACACACCAGCCCTGCAGCTGGAAGCCAATGTGCTGTTCCAGTGAGAAACTCGACTAAGATTCCTATTTTCTTTGGAGCCCCTCCTCACTGCAGTTTCACAGACGGTACTGCACAGTCCCTGAGAAAATAGCTAGACATACATTTAATTGTAACTCCAGGGAGCTAAAGACCATTCAAGCAGAGACTGCGGAGCGCAAAGCTAGGTCCCAGGTGTCACTGAGATCACTTCTCCTGTGAGATGGACCCAGTTACTGCCTCCCAACATGTTAATTTTTTTCTTTTTATAGCAACAGTTAAACACAACATGACAGGCAACTTGATTAATTCTGTAATCAAAAGAGACTTTGAGGATTGACACGAGCAATGAAGGAATAAATGACAAAGCTGAGCCATGTGTTACCTTTTGAAAGATGAGCTGCGAGTGGATGCTGCTGCGCACTGGCTGGGCTGATTGCGATCTGCTGGGGAAGGAAGAGTTGTGTCACTCTGGCCGGGCTGATCCTCTGGAAGTGGAGGTGCTCTGTGTACTTACATGTGTAAGGAGGCGTCAGGCTCCCTCCTCACTCTGTGAGTCACCCTCGTTGTGACACTGGATGATGACTAAGTCTTTCTTCTATCGATAAGTAAGCCAAGGAGCTGTGGGTCATGTGTTTCCAAAAGACAGTATCTTTAGGAAATGAACTTCAGCAACTTTCAGAAGGGACTTAAAAATGACCAATAATAGTCCTTTAACTGTGAGGACAATTTCTTGGCCAAATTCAGCAGCTGAAATACTATACATTGAAGCATTTTGTAAACTGCCTGGCACCAGGCTTGGATTGTGACTATTGTGACTATTGTTCATGATCTCTAGGTTGTTTGTTGTTTGTCTTCTCTCTCTCTCTCTCTCTCTCTCTCTCTCTCTCTCTCTCTCTCTCTCTCTCTCTCTCTCTCTCTCTCTCTCTCTCTCTCTCTCTCTCTCTCTCTCTCTCTCTCTCTCTCTCTCTCTCTCATTACTGTGCCTTTACTGATTTAGTGGTATTCTTTCAATCCTAGGAGAGTTGGTAGGGGAAATGAGTCTCTATTATTTTTTTAAATCACTTTTATTAAAACCATTGGTGAGCAAGGAGACCAAAACAATGTAAGGAAACGAGGCTTTGCATTTATTTTGAGTCTCTCTGTATGAGTGTTTTAGAAGTATGACAGGAAGGAAGATCTTATTGAAGTGGTCACGGGAACTGAGATCACTGAGAACAGGAAAGGATGCTGGCTCCCTCCCCAGAGCTGGTCAGTTCAGAGAGCATTATAACTGACCAGGCATATCTTGAAAAGTATTGAGGCTACAGGTGATGAGGGGGAAGACATGCTGCTAATATACGCTACTCCTCCAGCCTTGCACCTCCCCCTTAGGCACGGAGGCTGATGGACAGGTATAAACTCCACTGAAACTGCTTAGTTTCAGTTTCCTAATATTATATACCAGTTTATGGTTATACATCTCCCATTCCCCAGGCTTCTTCTGTGTTCCTTCTTTTAAAAATGAAGTTTAAGATTTTGTTGGGGTGAGTGGCTGAATAAACTTATTTGTCTATATTAAGTGTAGACATTGCTATTATCCTATAAGTTAAGTGGGGGATCTTTTATTTTTTCTCCACAAGAACAAAACAAGACTGAAATTTCATTTCCTCAGGTAAAGATTAGGGTACCCAAAATGTGCCAAATATACTTGTCCCCTTTAACATCCCATAAGTCAAAGGAAGACTTAAAGAGAAAAGCTTTTAGAGAAATAATACTTAATACGCATTGACTTAAATCCGTATGAGGAAAGGTATAAATGATTAATATCAGACCCTTCTTGTGAGCAAGTGATTGTCACTGAGAGATGGAGAGAGTTGCAGGCACCTGGGTGGCCATGAGGTAAAGAAGGACAAAGGATAAAGAAAAGGCTACATAAGCTTTGCTGATTCAATACTCTAGTCTAGTGTAGGTCTGTTTTAAAGACATCCCAATATGGACGAAAAAGGGGCCACCTGCTAAACCTGACAAACCCAGGAGAGGCCAGGGTGGTGGGCTTTACAAACTCAGAGACTGAAGTAACCACACAGGATGGTCTGGACATAACAATTCCTGATTAAAAGCAGGTCATGTTAAAATATGTACACAGATAATAATTTTAAAAAAATCCATTTACAAAAATAAATAAATAAATAAATAAATAAATAAAGTATAGAGGAAGAAAAAAAAAAAAAAAAGCAGGTCATGGTGAGTAGTCATGTCCCAGGCATGTTGCTTCCTTAACAAAGGTCAGTCTTTATCTTGAGTGAACCTGTCTATTGTCACTTTGCATCTAAGATGGGGTGGGGAACTTCCAGCCTGCTGGCCCTATAAAGCCCCAGAAATCATTAATGTCTGGCCCTGCCAAGGCATTAGAGCTGAGTTAACTAAATGTTTGACCAAATACAGCAGGCTAATTTTTAAGTTGATAATTTTGTATGGCCTTCAAATGGTGTCATAATTATCCAAATGGCCCTTGGCAGAAAAAAGTCCCCCACCCCTGACTAAGATAACATACATTTGAAATATCAGAGTAATCTCCTTTTCTAGACCCCTCAGGGCACAACCTCTCTACCCTAGCACCAGATCCCAGGAATCCTCATTGTTATCTTGTTCCCAGAATAACAACTCTACTACTATGTTTCCTTGAAAATAAGACATCCTTCGAAAATAAGACCTAGCGCTTGGAAAGATAAGACATCCCCAGAAAATAAGACCTATCGCAACTTTGAGAGAAAAAATTAATAAAAGACACTGTCTTATTTTTGGGGAAATAGGGTAGTATGTGTTGTAAGTGCTAATTATTAATATTACCCTGTACCCACCAAGGTAAAAGAAACCTGTGTCATGCTAGCCAGCTGGTTTGACTCAGTGGATAGAGAGTTCCACCCCCCACCTTAGCTGAAGGGATTCTGGTCAAGGACATGTACCTCAGTTGCAGGCTCAATCCCTGCTTTAGTCAGGTGGGTCAGGAGGTAACCAATCAATGTGTCTTTCTCACATCAAAGTTTCTCTCTCTGTCTACCCCTCCCTTCCACTCTCTAAAAATCAATGGAAAAAGAAACTCGGGTAAAGATTAACAACAAACAAGAACTGTATGTCTCCCTACCTTATTTTTTTTTTTTTTATCCAATCCCAGAGATATCCCCCGATTTGGTCTTCTGCCCCCTTAATCTACCACCAATGGCCTTCAAGCAACCCTTCTTACCTCTCCTCTTTTGATTCTAACATATAAAATAAGCTGCAAAACTGCCACTCTCTCAACCTGTTGAGATTTTGCCTGTCAGTTTGGCTCAAAAACACTCATAAAAATTCTGTACAGATTTAGAAGTTTCTTACATCAGTACCAAATAGACTAAAAAAAAAAAGATGTTTTGACTGGTTTGTATATTGAGAACTAGAATTCTTCTTATGTCTGGATCCCTCAACCCAGTAGACAGGGTTTTGAGAGTTCAGTTTCAGTAGCCCTGGCACCAGGGTTGGAACATTTGCCCCCCTTGTCAAATGATCTCATTTAGGTGTTCCTTTAATGGAATCATTTTTCAGCAGCACTTTATCCGGACTGTAACTAAATCTGCCTTCAAATTCACCTCGTAAGTGCTAAATTTTCTTTCACTCCATTCTGTAATAAGGCAACCTATGAAAGTGCTATTTTGTTCAGAACTCACCCTGAATACATTAAACTTCTGGTCATCCAAGGTGATGTAAAAAATCCAGAACTGAATTGCCATAGTATTTCCCCCCCCCCCCCCTAATTCCTTTTTAAAACAGAAGATTGCACAGTGGATTTCATTTAAATGTAAATGTAAATGGTGGCAATTGGATGGTAACTATAGAGGGGTTAGGCTAGATACTGCAAAACACTAAACACATGACTCTCCTTTTCCTTCTAAATTCATAGGTCCCCATGTTTCCCTCTAAAGGTGCCTTCTCCACCCTTTTCAGAAACCACAATACAAAGAGAATCTCCAGATTCATGGCTGTCTCAGATGATATGCATTAGGCCTCTCAGATGACATACATTTGGTAACTGCACAGGGCTGAACATGGAGCAGGCCACAAGTATTCCTGAAATGGGAATTGATTGGAGAAAAGCACTTCCAGCAGGAGTGTAGCTGGTGTTACTCTTGTAAGGATGGTGGGGGTCAAGGCTGTTGTGGAGTGTGCATGTTGACCTCCCCCTTCCTGGTATTACAATAGAATCCTTCTCAAAGGTTATCCTCAGTGGTGTGCATTTCTCTGAATAACTATGAATTGGTGCTAGGACTATATATTTTTTATGAAAAATTTTTGTTGTATTTTTAAAATGTTTAAATTACCATTTACATCCAATATTATTTTGTATTAGTTTCAGTTGTACAGCATCAAGGTTAGCCACTCATATACTTTACAAATATTTTCAATACACAAGAGGCACCACACGTAGTTATTACAATATTAATGACTATATTCCCCATGCTGTACTTTATATCCTCATGACTATTTGTAACTTCCAGTTTGTACTTCTCAATCCCTTCATCTTTTTTATCCAATTCCCCAAACCCTCTCCCCTTGGCAATCATCATTCTGTTCTTTGTATTTAAGTCTGTTTGTTTTGTTTACTTGTTTATACTGTTCTTTAGATTCCACCTATAAGTAAAATCATATGGTATTTGACTTTATATTTTTAAAAGTGCAGTTTGTAATTTCTATCTCCTCCCTTTATCAACAGAACAGCTCTTTCATTTCCACTATAGAGGTCTCCCTTGCTATACAAACAATACTTTGACATTGGAGCAGAGCAGGTGAATTGCAAATGATGCCCATGAATGCATAGCTAGGCTTGGCCAAAACTAGGAGCTTTGTTACTCATTTGGCATTTCCTGACTCTCCCAACTGTAAAGTGAAGCTGGGCTAATCTCTTGTTCCTCTACTGTAAGATCCTTAGAAATACTATTAGGGACTGACTGAGTCATGGGAACATTTGGTAGATTCTTTGAAGAAAGATTTTTCTTATTTGCAAAACACACAACCTTTTAGCTCACTCAAACAAGAGATCTTAGTTTAAAAGGTAGGGTGAGGAGTATTATATTGGAGAGCATTGTTCTGAAAAGGAGTGAGAGAGATGAATGAGAAGGAAAGCAAAGGATCAGAAACACTAGGGATGCCTGGAAACAGGGAGACTTGCAAGAAATAAGATGGGAGACTTAATTAAAAATGTGACTCTCACAGAGGAGAGTGTTAGGATCCCTGAAGAAGAAACACAAGAGGCCCAAAGGGGTAAAGAATTATAAATCTATTAGGTCATCTGAAGACCAGATGGGCTGAGTCCCCAAATGGCACCAGTACCCAGGGATTGGGGAGTCAGAGGTATTAAAGGACTCTAGACAGGCTTTTTCAGTGGGCAACTCTCTGGGTGGGTCCCGCTCCTGTGAGGGTCCCCAGGGGAAAGATAATGGTCTTAGCAAGTAGACTGTGGTCTAAGCGAAAGGGAATGTTGGTTGTGAAGTGGTCTAAAGGTCTAAAGGT